CGGGGCCGGGGCCGGGGCCGGCGAGGAGCCCGTCGTGTCCCTGGCCGAGGTGCTGGCGGAGAACGAGGAGCTGGAGCAGGAGGCGCGCGCCGTGCTGGGCGGCAGCGACCACGAGCGCTGCAGCTACGCGCAGGTGGGGGCGGCGCCGCGCGCTCCCCACGCGTGTCGTGTCGCGCCGCGTCGTGTCGCGGCGACGCTGTCGCGGCCGCGGCCGCTGTCGTTGCAGGGCGCCGTGAAGCGGCAGGCGCTGTACGCGTGCGGCACGTGCACCCCGCCGGGCCGCGAGCCCGCCGGCATCTGCCTCGCGTGCAGCTACGAGTGCCACGGCTCGCACCGCCTCTTCGAGCTCTACACCAAGCGGTGAGCGCGCCCGCGGAACGGCAACGGCGGCGGCAGCGGGAACGGCAACGGCAACGGCCCGCCGCGCCCTGTGGGGGACTCGGTGCCGCCAGAAGAGCCCAGGTGTCCCCAGACGGGCCCCAGGTGTCCCCAAACGGGCCCCAGGTGTCCCCAAACGCGCCCCAGGTGTCCCCAAACGGGCCCCAGGTGTCCCCAAGCGCGCCCCTTTGCGCCCTTTCCCCCATACACGTTTGTTGTCTGCGCGGCACTCGCGGGCCCGTTCAGCCGCTCCCGTGGGCCCTTCCCGCCAGAAGCTGCCGAGGATGAGGATGTCGGGATCGGCCGGGATCAGCGCGGGACGTGAGGCCGCCAGGCTCCTTGGCCGTGTCTCACAGATGCTCCTGTTTAGACAGCTGCACAAAGAGTTTTATGGCTCCTAAAACACCGCTGGAAAGTGGTTTATAAAAATGCACCAGCTTTGGTGCTTATAGTAGAGGATCTGAATGCTTTGTTTCTCTTCCCAGGAACTTCCGCTGTGACTGTGGAAACAGCAAGTTCGAGAATTTGCAGTGCAAGTTACTTCCCGTAAGTTCCTTGGCGGGTCTGAGACGCGCAGCGCGAGGCTTGCAGCCCGGGCGGGCGCCGCTGGCCGCGGCCGGCTCTCGCGGAGCCGCCGGCGCTGCCGGCAGCGCCAGCGAGGGGCGTCCGAGCTCTGCCGCCGCGCTGCAGCGCGTGGGGGCACCCAGGCTGATAACTGCCCTCAGGAGGGTCTCCTTGGACGTGAGTTTACAGTTGCTTTAACACCATGGGGTGCTGTGCAGGCACGGGACGCGGTGAGTATGCGGTACCATCCCGGAAAGCAACCAGGAAGGAGGCTCTCTGCCTCGCTCTGCTTCCAGGAGGAGAGCGCTGCAAATGCAGGAGCAGCAAGTGGCTCCCCTGGCACCGCTGCCGCTGCGGCCGCGATCCCCGTGGAGACGCCCGTGGCCACTGGGAGATGTGGGTGCTGCCCGTGCGGGCGGCTGCAGCGTGTCCCGTGGGCGCCGTGCTGAGCCCAGCCTCAGCAGCAGAGGGGGCCTCGCATCGGGGTTCTCCTTCCAACAGAGGAGCAGTAAAAAGCATTTCGTAGGGTATAAAGAGAGAAGGGAGCGTGCACTGGCCGGTGCCAGTGTGGCAAAGTCTGCAGACCTGATGGGCAAGATGGGCATCAAACCTCAAGCGTTTTGTCTGACTAAGATCCTAGTGGCGCATGGTCGCCTGGGGAGAATTGTGCACATCTGGGAGGAATTTTGAATTTACTATTCACTGAACTGAAACTAAAGTTACCCTTAAAGAGTATTATGCCCTTAGGTAATTTTAGATGAGCAGTAGCTTGAAAAAACCCCACGATAGTTACCATTTTATATATGGAAATATAAAGAACCATATATATATATGGTTCTTGCTGTTTCCTTCAGTATTCCTTACACAGCCTATCTGCTGCCGACTGGATAACGTGCGAGTCGCAGGGTGGTATCTTTGGGTTTGGATCTTCACGCTGATGAGTGTAACGATTGCTTTTAGAGGGCCGACTGGGACGTTTTGGTTTAGGATGGGCATCTTCTGTTTCTCACTGCATTGTCTATTGAAATGATTTCTCCTTTCTTTTCAGGAAAAGGGCAAGGTGAATTCGGGAAATAAGTATAATGACAATTTTTTTGGATTATACTGTACTTGTAAAAGACCTTATCCTGATCCCGAAGATGAGGTAAGAAATGCAAAATTTAGTAGTAAGCTTATTCAGCATATATTGATACAAAACTGGGGTGAGATAATACAGCTCACAATACAAAATGCTGTGCAAATGGACGCCCACGAGACGTTTTTAAAAATTTTGTCAAGCGGCATTTCCCTTAATATTACTTTAACTGTCATTCATAGTATAAAGTAACACATTCCCACTGTTATTTAAAATAGCTAAAATATTTACACCTTAAAAACAGATGAAGAAGACACCGCATTCCTTCGGACAAAAGAGTGGTGCAGTTATCTCCACTCACTCTCTGCAGAGTTATGTTGTTCCTTGAGGGGATGGGTTTATCTTGAGAAATTCTACAAATAGTGAAAAAATCTCTTGATCTCGGATGCCAGAAGGTGTTTCCTTGTGCTTGCAGCCATGCTCTGAAGTGTTGAATTTGGGTCACAAACAGGAGCTTTCCTTTGCAATTATAAAAGTTACGAGTTTTTTAAAAATTAGAGTTTTTAGGGACAGAAAGAATAAGAAAGGCATAAGTCTTCCAAGTGTGAAAAGACTTTATTAGTGGTACTATCAAATATAAAGTCATTTTCCTGAGTTTAGTGAGATCTAAATATTTCTAATTAAATCATTAATAATTGTTTCATAATAAATTGTTTTGTACTAAGTTTGTATTATGCACCATTAAGAGTTAGGAATCTGGCATTCTTAAAGAAAACCTGATGACACTGAGGATAAAATTAGTTTTGGCAAGTCCCCTATTTCTGCATTCCTGCTTACAGAAAGAAAGATACAGGTAGCATGCTAACTTTTATCTGCTCTTTTGTGTAAGAATGTCTTGCTGTACTGGGAAAATTAGCTTTGCAGTAAAATTGCACATACAGTAGTGCTTAAGGAGCCAACTGGCTAATGAAATGGTAACTAGTTATTAATGACAGCGCCCTGTGGGTGGGTAAAGAGGGAACTGGCTTGAGGGGGCTTTGCGTAATACTGCACTTGGAGGAAAGATTCTCCAGGTTGATATTAATGCTAATGGTGCAACCGTTCCTCTAGATTCCAGATGAAATGATCCAGTGCATCGTTTGTGAAGACTGGTTCCATGGAAGGGTAAGGAAACTCTAAGCAGCAGAACTGCCATTTGCACAGAAACAGGCTAATGATGTTGGTTAATTGTGTAGGGTAATTCTTACTCGGAAAGATGTGCTGTAGTTCTCAGGAGATACCTACCTAACTTCTGGGGCTGTTCCTTTCCACTTCTGCAAGGTGTTACTGAACGCTTAATCGTGCACTGCTGTTCACTCAGGTCCAAAGTAACTAGGAAAACCTCTCCTTTTTTCCAGGGTTACTTTTGTGGAATAAAATAATAGGCTTGTGACTGCCTTTAACTGGAAAATTATAAACTTAGAATCAGGGAGTTCTTTAGAGCACGTCATTACCAACTATCTGCATGTTTATTCAGAGGAGTGCTTTTTTTGAATTGTAATTACATTAAATAGTAAGGAAAAAAACTGCACTGTTGGTCCCTGATTACAGACTTGGGGAAAATGCTTAAGCAGCAGCTAAGCATTCACTGAGTGTCCTGCCTACTGCCTGAGCAGGGATTCAGCTGGTCCTGCCTGCTGGGGGCACAGGAGGAATTCCACAGAGGATGCAAGAAAGTAAAATATTTCATGTTGCTGGAATAACAAAGAAAACAAGGTGATTGGCTTCAGTTATAGGTCTGTAGATAAACCGTGGGTTTGTCTATATATAATGTGTGTATCAAGGATGTTATGCTGCCTACTGCTACTGTGAAAGAATGATTTTCAAAAGAAAACAGCAAAGTGCTGTGAATTGCCTCAATGTTTCTCACAAATCTCTCTGAGGGCCTTGAGACCTAAATCTTCTCATTTTCAGGATGTGAACAATGAGACTGGCAGTCGTTTGTGTAAGGAAACAATAATTAAAAGTTAGGGTAAGAGTTAAAGTTGCAGTGAGTTTTGGGTATCTTATTGTGCAGCTATAGTTAGGACAGAAGAATTATGTTTAGAAATGAGATAAAGATAGAACTGAAATTTCCAAGTATGTAGAAAAATAAAAGTCTGCAAACAAGGGCACCGTGAGCTCAGTTTCTCCCGGGAACTTGATCCAATCTTTCCAGCCTCTGGGCTGTACTGGTGCTGGCTGTAAAAGCAAGCGGGCCCTTTGCTCGTGCTGCGAACGCGGTGGCACTGCTGCTGGACGTGCGCGAGAGCCCGCGCGGCGCCCGCTGTGGGGCTCGGCGCCCGCTGAGGGGCTCGGCACCCGCTGTGGGGCTCGGCGCCCACTGCGGGGCTCGGCGCCCGCTGAGGGGCTCAGCGCCTGCCTCTCTCCCGCAGCACCTCGGGGCCGTGCCTCCCGACAGCGGAGACTTCCACGAGATGGTCTGCCAAGCCTGCATGGAGCACTGCCCTTTCCTGTGGGCCTACGCCTCGCAGCTAGCAGGTAAAGGAACCGCAAGCACCTGCGCCCACGTTCCTTCAGTGTGTAGTCCAGCTGCTCCCTAAAGAGGTCTGGTTCATAAATCTGTCTGCCGCAGTTGTCGCTGCTTGATTTGTTTCATCAAAAGCGTGTGGGAACACGGATGGTGAAGATCTGCTACCTGCCTCAGGGAACTCGAGTTCTAGGCAGGGCTGCAGGATCTGAAGAGCCGTCCTAAGGGAAGCAGTGAGGAACACAGCTGGGCTGGGGAGACTCCAGTCAGAAGGGAGTCAATGATACCGGCTTGAAAAGAGTGTAAAAAATGTTGGTTTGAGCATGTTTGGGTTATGTGATCTCACAAGAGATACCAGAGTCACCTGATACGTGTCTGCCCGATACATGGTCTCTGCAGGAGCGGATGACTGGATGTCAGTGGAAAGAGCTGAATTCAGGAGGTCTTGGTTCCTAGAGCCCTAGGCTGCAGTCTGAGGTCTCATGTACCAGGACATTCAGATGGGACTTTTAGAGATTCCCGGATGTGCTGCCTCGAATTCCCTTCTCTGCTTTCCCCTGCCCTCCCTCCCCACTGCCTGCGTCATCGGGCACTCCCCTGACTTGGCATGGAAGATAAATTTACTTGAAATGGTCAGTACAAGTCATTTGTTGTAGTGGTCTGGATCACTGCTGCCGGATGTTGGGTCACCTCAAACTGTTGGAAGATTAATACATAAGTATATCCTTAGACAAGTAGAGGTGACTGTGACTTTTCCTTGATAGAACTTTCTTCATATTTTTGTGCTATTTAGATGAAAATTGGTAGATGTAGCAAAAGGTTCTAGGTGGGTAAATAGAGTTCTTGAGGAAGCATTCAGCAAGTTACATAATAACCACGTGAGAGCACATGGAGCAGCAGAGGGCCTGCAGAAAGCCTTATTTGGTACATTTTGTTATTCACTTACAATTTTGTGTATAAACAACTGCTTGAATTGCCTCTTTCAAAACTGGGTACAGAGCTGAAGACAGCTGCAAGTGCTGGGTAAGGTTTTTGGGTTTTTTTTTTTTTTTGAATTGGAGAAAATGAAGATACCTGATCCTGGTATCTGACCGGATATCATGTGGATCAGATAGTCCAGGTGCTCTGTAACACTGCCTTATGAAGCAAAAAGAAAGGTTGCAGGAGCCCGTGCTTTGCCTGGCACAGTGCTTTCATTTATGTGGACATGTGTTTTCTAGTTCCTCCTTTGACCAAAGTGACTTCCGTTGAAGATGAAGGGATTGTCCTGAATGTTGAGGAAAGTGAAGAACAGAAAAAAGAAATAAAAACAGAAAGTGGACCAGAGCACCAAGAAACGGAGGAGGGGAAGCCAACAGACCAGCTTAATGAGCCCTCTACCAGCTCTGGCTCTTCCTGCCCCGAGGTAACACGTGCTTGCTTTGCTGCTCTGTGCATCTTCCTGGCAGTGGGGACTCTAAAGCCACCTCTTTCTGCCTGGGATCGGTGACAAGGCTTTCTGTCCCTTCCCATGCACGCTTTTAGCAGCTTTTTTACTGACACGTTACCTAAACATTCTCGTAGGGCATGGAGTAGGTTATGGAAGGTGCTTGGCACTGTGGGCGACGGGCGTCGTGGCCCTTGCAGGTGGCAGCAACCTGCTGCTTTACCCTTGGGCTGAAGGAATTCCTGGGTTTGTTTTAATACTGTGGTGTTACGGTGGTCCAGTTCTGATTTCCTAAACATGACCATTGAAATAATTTTTTACAGAACAGTATATTTATATTTAATGGATATTGCTAAGACCACATCAGCATTTACATATGAATGGAACATAATAGAAGTTGTCCTATAGAAATAAATATGTCCAAGGGGAAAAAAATCATCCTGCCTGAGGAAAATGAATGTAGCTGAAGTGAAGCTGAAGAGTATTAACACTCTTATTTTAATTCAGACAGTTCCTAAGAGCGAAGAACCAGTCTGCAAGCTGAAAGAACTCCAAAGGAAGCCATTTTTAAAAAAAGATACTGCCACCTTTTGGCCATCAAACTGGAGAAGCAAATTATGCACATGTGAAGCCTGCTTGGTAGGTACCCTTGGGGCTCTGTGCGCTGTAAGTGGCCAAGTGGGGAGGCAGAGAGGAGCCTCTGGGCAGGAGCAGAGCAGAGCCTCTCGCTGCACGCGCAGACACCTCCTGAAACACTCCCCATGCCTAAAGAAACAAGCAGCATCTTTTGGAACTGATGCAGCATCTGTGTTTAGAAGGAGCTCTAAATGTTTGTGCCTCCTGTGATTTAAGGCTAATGTCATTCTGAACGTCTTCATGACAGATGGTTGAAAAGTTTGCTGATATAAAATTTACATTATGAATTGCAGAACTTACTGTGAAGAGGGGCAGGGGACTGCATCTTAGCTGAAGAGTTCTGTAGTCCAAAATTACATTTTACTTTATTCTCCAGAAAATGTACTCAGAGCTTGAAGTCCAGTTCCTGACAGATGAATGTGACACTGTCTTGGCCTATGAAAATAAAGGTACCAGTGACCAAGAAACTGACAGGAGAGACCCCTTAATGGACACCCTTAGCAGTATGAACAGAGTCCAGCAAGTAGAACTCATCTGTGGTAAATATAAATGCTTTTTTAGAATCTGCCTTAGCATTTTCTGTGATCACTTTACTGTATAAAAACCCTATCTCCTGTATACACATTGCATGCTCTTCATTATAGAACCATGTAAGAGCACAACAGGTGTCAGAGTAGTATTGTAACTTGGCATCCAGCTATTTTTGAGCAACGTGTAGAAGACTGTGTGGCTGAGATTGTCATCCTCAAGCGGTGTTCCTGCAGAGAGGTCTGCCAGCTAGGTTCTGTTATAACTTTAACTCCCTTATGTTAAGGCAGCAGATGATGTAGGAATCTTATTAATATTTAGACTGTATATTAATGATAATTCCTCGTAAGATGGATATTTCATTTACATTCCTGTCTTCTGGCCCCTTTCTTACCTTGTTCTGGTGATCCCTTGTTGCTGCGGGGGTGGCAGCCTGTGCAAAGCTGGGGTGAAAGGTTTCTGTATGTTCCTGTTATTGACAGGACAGGCTTCATTTATGAAATACATCCAGCCCTGCTGCCCTCTGCTGAATAAGGTTTATGCTCTGGTGGGAACACGTGTTAAGACTTCCCAGCACCTACCGGTGCTTTTGCAGTTACTGTTTGTGGGGAGGCTGGAGTCCTTTAATTGCAGGGCTTAGACAGGCAGACCGCATAAGCCAGTCAGGTTCCTGCATCATTACATTCTCCAAGTCTATTCCTCCTTGCTTATTTAATTCATAATCTAGTTCAGGGACAGATTTGTCTTGAAGGGCAGGCTAGCTAGTAGCAAGAGGAAACAGAGCAAGCCTCCGTCGTAAGCCCGTGGCCAATCAAAGCTGCATCTCTCTCATTTTTCCTTCATGTCTTCACTTCCCCCTCCAGAATACAACGATTTAAAGACGGAACTGACCGACTATCTCAGGAGATTTGCAGACGAGGGAACGGTAAGGTGCACGGGGCAGCAGTGGTTTGGTTTCTTGAAAATGCGTTGTCTCTCTTTTAAATAGGGCTGGGCAGTGTTGAATATAGTAACTCTTCCTGTGTTGCAGTTACTAAGTAAACATCGGACACTTCTGATTCTTAAAACTATTTCTGTTGAAGGAAGTGTGGAGAGGTAAAAGGAACACCTCAGGAATGTCCTGAGAGCAGTTTTTAAATTTAAAGTGAAATAGTTGTTTCCTGGGAAACATCAGGAAAAAATATCTTAATCTTCATGCTTAGTCTTAAACTGAATTTAAACCTTCAGAGGAACAAGGACTGACCAAATAGTGGCAGACCATCTCTCCTGTTGTCTCACTGAAGAAATGAATCTGCCATTTATGAACATGGAAATTTTGTTTGTTCACATTAAGCCACAGATGTGCCAAAATGCCATTCATCCCCACCCCCTCAGTCACCATTCCAGATGGTGACGTCTTGCTTTGTGATAATTATCACAGAGTGGTTGAGGTTGGAAGGGACCTCTAGAGATTCTCTAGTCCAACCCCCCTGCTCCAGCAGGGACACGCAGAGCACGGGGTGGCATCCAGGTGAGTTTTGAAGGCCTCCAGAGAAGGAGACTCCACAGCCTCCCTGGGCAGCCTGTTCCAGGGCTCTGTCACCCTCACAGCGAAGAAGTTCCTCCTCACATGGAGATGGAACTGCCTGTGCTGCAACTTAGACCCATTGCCCCTTGTCCTGTCACTGCCCACCACTGTGAAGCATTTGGCCCCTTCCTCCCTACATTCCCCCTTCATGAACTTATCCATGTTAATCAGATCCCCTCTCAGCCTTCTCCAGAGAAAACAGGCCCAGCTCACTCGGTCTCTCCTCGTACGAGAGATGTTCCAGTCCCTTAATCATCATGGTTGTCCTCCCCTGGACCCTCTCCAGAAGCTCCACATCCATCTTACACTGGGAAGCCCAGAACTGCACACAATATTCCAGGTGCGGCCCCACCAGAGCTGAGGAGAGGGGCAGGATCCCCTCCCTTGACCTGCTTTATTCCGATGATAAAAGCAAGTAGCCGAACACATTAACGTCACCCTGAATGAACACATTAACGTCACAACTTCTCCGTCCCCTTGTTCTGCCTCGGGGTAGCTCATTGCCCTCCGTGTATCCTCTCGCAGGGGAACTGGGTTATTAATCCCCCAGGAGAGCTGTGGGCTGGCTGTATCAGAGAGACTCCAGGGTATTTGTTTTAATAAGCTTTGTAAATGTGTATACTACATAGAAGATGAAGGCTGCTGTAACTGAATTACTGCATCACAACTTGTGCTTCGTCTTATTTGCACTAGGTTGTTAAGAGAGAGGACATCCAGCACTTCTTTGAGGAGTTCCAGTCACGAAAGAGGCGACGGACTAACAGGATGCAGTACTACTGTAGCTAGAGGCAGCGCTCCGAGGCGGCAAGACCCCCGGGGAAGACCAGGATCCGCTGGCAAACAACAAGGGCAACTTTATGGTTGGCCTTTCCTCAGCACTCTGCTGCCCAAGAAACTGCCTCCACCTTTTCCCTCATTTTGTTTCTCTTTTCCCATTATTGGCAGTGCACACGTGTTCTTCACAGGCACACTGCAGAGCGGTTCAGCTATATGGATTTCAGCACTGAGCTCCTCTGCATTTATTGGAAAGCTGGCCTTGTTTCAAAAGGGCAGGATTGCTTGTTAAAAGCAACTTCAGGCTAGTGTTTCTTCCCTTTATTCTTTATCCCACTTTACTTTCAGTGCCTAGAGCTGTGTACACCGCACTAAAGCATAGGGCTCTCTGCCCGCCCTGCTTTCTCTATGGAATTCTACAAGTGGGAAGGAGGAGGCAGTGTGTGTTAGCAGTGATGCTCCTCGGTTCAAATCCCACTGGATGAAGCTGCATCTACAGTTTGGTTCGTATCATGTGAGCTAAAGGGCACTGGATGTCACGTGCTAACCAGGGGCTGGGGGAACCTTCCCTCAGCGCACCAAAAAACAGGAATCATGAGTTGGTCTTGATACAGCAGAATGTTGTATCTATTTTTTTTATTCAAAAACTATTTCTAGATATTGTACAGTGATGTTTTACATGCAAAAGTTTGTCTTGTGAAATGTATCCTCTCACTAGAATGTAAATGATGCCTAGTAGGAGGTACTACATTACAAATTATGTATTGGGGGTTTGTTAAAGGAATTTTAATATGCTCTTGTTTTAAAAACTAACCTACTTTAAAATTAACCTATTTCGTAACTGCTCCTAAAATGTTGCAGCATCCTGGCATTTTGCTACAGTATAATGTGTGCGATCTTTTTATAATCACTGTGATAATCAAGGAATAGAAAATGTTTCACTGACTTAACAAGCTATCATTAACTAAAACTAGCTCCTGACTTTCCCATGAGTCATTTTGAGCTTAAAGTAGTTTTTAGTTTTCCTTTTCCCACAAAATCCCACAACTCCCTCAAGGAAAGAGTAGTTTTTCACTCCCACCCTCAGCAGCTGGAGGATTTGCTTATCATGAGCTATCATTCTGCTCCCCTGTTAAGATTTCTTAGAAGAAAATTCAGCTTTTATCATTCTTTGTTAATTCTTTTTGGCCAGCTTGTTTGCAAAAGCGAACTCTAGCATAAAGACTCAGTTAATTTGTTTTATGCAAGTATGACTAGTTGCTTTCGACTCTAACTCTGGGTATTGTATGTGCTTTTTCTTTTGTAGCAACTATTATGGGAGTTGTAACTGCATACCTAAGTAAAATACCTACAAATTAAGCATTTGCTCAGTCTGTGCTGTTTTGTATCCGACCTGCTGCTCTGCCAGTCTGTTTCTATCCCTGCCCGGTGTCTCGTAGCAGGACTGTCCCCTGCTTGGCCACGTGGCCGGGCTGCAGTTGAGGGAGATCAGCCCGTGTCAGCACGTGCAGCCTCCCCTTCCTCCTCTTTGCTCCCTGCACTGACCTGCTTGATACTGGGTGCCTGTGACACAGGGTGCGTCGTCCCATCACTGCTGCCATCCCATCCCAGAGCATGGATTGAGCAGGAGAAAAAAAAAGCAGGAAAACAGCATTGTGTTTCTATTGTCCTACACTTTTCAGGCTAAAATAGGGAAAAATCTAGTCCGAGGTAACCATCGTTGAGTAAGTTCTAGCCTTGACTTCAGTAAGAGAATGGTCGCAATTTTAATGTTCTCCCTCAAGTACATACAGAATAACTCCTTAAATGCTAAGGTCAGAGGGAGAGTCTGAGCGTTCTGCACAGGCCCCAGTCAGTTATAATTCAGTTTCCAGCTGAACTACGAAGTGGACATCCTCCCTGCTAACACCTATGGCTAGCACTGTAGCACCACTTGCACCTCATCTGAAACATCCATTAAAATCAGTCCGCAAGTAGGTTTCCTCAAAGTCCGTACTTGAACAAAACTGTCAGCTGGCTCTCTGTGGAGGTATTCATACCTCTTGGAGAGGCACGAAGGGGCACACACCAGCCCATCCTGCCTGCCACTCTGGACATGGGCCCTTCTTGCTGTTTGTGACTCGGAGCTCGTGGTGCTCAGGTAGCCGAGGGCTCCGTGAGCATCTCCCTGACCCCAGGCCCCGGTGCCCTGGAGGCAGCGCTGCTCAGGTGGCCACAACAGCTCCCCAAACCAGGCTACCTGCAGCTCCTGGAAACATCTTCCTTCCCGCTGCTGCCCCGTTCCCTCTCGCCACGGTGCAGGAGGATCAGGAGCTGCGGTGACGCCGTCCTGCAGCAGAGGTTGGTGCAGGCTGGTGCCCTGGGAGGGCTGTGCGTGTGGAGGTGCCTGGGGCGCTGCCGCCGGCGCCCCACACGTGTGGTGACACTGCAGCAGCCAGCTGCCACGGACAGCGGCACCGCTGCCACGGACCGGCACGCGCAGGAGATACCGAACCGAGGCTGCAGTTTCCACAAGAAATGGATCCCGCAGCCGCGTTCACGCCATCCCATCACCCCAGGCACACGCTGCTCAGCCGCTGGCGCCAGCCCGTGCTGCAGTAACAGCACCTGGCTCACATGGAGCAGGCGCGGATGCAGCCCAAGTGGCACAAGCAACTCCAACTGATCCCTGCGACCCAGCCTCCAACCAGGCCCAGCGACTCCAACTGGGCCCTGCGGCCCAATCCCTCGGACTAGGCCCTGTGACTGGAACTGGTCCCTACGGCCCAAGCCCTGGGACCCACCTCTCATCTGGGTGGTGCCAGACGCCTTCCCAGAGGCCGTTCCCACTGCCAGCAGGAATCTTCTCTCAGAGGGAAGAATTTCATCCAAACACACACACCACCTGAAACAAAATGGAAGTATTAAGGACTATTTTAGCAAGTTTTTAGAAAAACGTAACCATTTTAAGGGTGGAAATGAAGACAAACCAATCAGATCATACTGTACTCTTCATTTCTTTCTCCTTTCCTCACCTTTTAAGTTAGGAAATAACCCAAAGTATTTCGCTGTTGTACAAAAAAAAGTGAAACTAGTACAGAGTTTCTGCTGCTGGGTGACACACTTTGAAGCTTTACTCATGTCCTTGAAGTAAAGAAACATTTTCTTCCTTTTTGGTGAACCAGGTTTAATGAATATTCAGCTGACACAAGGCCAGAGAGGAGAAGGCTCTGCCTAATGAATGTCTTTGTGCGGCTGCTCTGCTCAGAAACAAACATGTTCTAGATCAAGGGCCAAGTCCCGCTGCCCAAGCTGCGGATAATCCTGTCGCTTGGAACAGCGACGAGCCACAGTCGAGCTCCACACCAAAGAGCTCCCCGGGCAGACGCTCACTTGAGCCCTTCTATTCTCAATAAGTATCATTAGTGCTGCTGTTCAGGCAGCTTTTACCTTGGCTTGCAGTATATCCTTGATGTTCAAAGCATCGCTGTGGGCTTAAAAAAAAGAAATAAAGAAGTTAGAAAATTCTTTTTACACGTTGAGGGCACTTCAGAGTTTGAACTCCAAGACTCCTTTTCGCCCCCAAACCGCAGGGACGGAGCGGGTCGGGGCAGTGACGACACCTCCCGCCCTGCCACCCGCCCAGCACTAATTCTGCAGCCTGCGGCCGGCGGCTAAAGCGAAGCGAAGTCACACGCGCCCCTTCTATACAAGCCATTTATTTGAAATGCCAACTATACGTAGGATAAAGTCAGTGTTACATGCTTCTCAGCAACAGTAGAAAAATAGAACCAGTGAAAACCTTTTTACAATTGTAATGGTACTCAAAAGAGAAATGTATTGTTTTACAATGCATCACACAAGACTAGAATTCAAGTCTGGAGGTACCTAAATAAAAATACTATTTTTTTTTTTTTAAAAAACACTATATACAATTGAAGCGTAAACAAGTTTTACAAAGTACTGGTTATGCAGGTTGTAGAAAAAACACTTGCATAGGACATGAAATCAGTTTAAGAAAGTTTTCTGAGCCTTTAGCATTGAAGGCACTTGACTTTATACCAGTAACAGCACAAGGACAAGAGACAGAAACGTAACGTTGCAGGAGGCCAGGGGGCCTCCTGGAATACAGGGAATTGCAGAGCCCCAGACACCGTTTTACAGTTTTGTCTTTCAGCTGCTGCTGCATCCAGCAGAACTCAGCACCTCTCCCACAGAAGCGCGTAGGCATTAGGAGAAATAACAGTGCCTCAAACAGCATGTGAATTCTTTCAAAACACCCCAAAATAAGGAAATCTGTAAGACAAACACACACTCGGGACGTTCCAGGACCAAAACCAAGGCTTACAGGTAAGAAGGGCCACAGTCGCTTAGTTTTCAGAAAGGAAACTGCTCAAAAGGAAGAAAAATAAGGAACTGCCAATGACCACAGTAGTTATTAACACACAACTACAGTAACTCTACAGAATAACAGAACGTTTCAGGGGAGCAAAAGATTTTTCTAGGAATTAAGTTATTCATCCATATATTAGGGGAAAAGGGAGGGGTAAGGAAGAGGGAAATGGGATTTTTTTTTTGCAGGTAGCTTCCTAACCGCGAGTCCAAACTCTCTCTAACGGGACAGAAACCTCCCTCCTCGGAAAGCTTCGTGTCCAGCCCTCCTGCGGCCAGCGAGCGGCTCGGCTGCGTCGCCATCCAGCGCACCGGGCAAGCGGGGCCGTCAGCTCGCAGCCCAGGCAGCCGCGGTGTCCGGGGAGCGCGGGGACGCCGGGAAGGGCGGGAGCTGCTGCCGCCGCCGGAGCGGGAAGGCTCCGCGGGAATGGGAGGGATGTGGGCGCCGCTGCCGCAGAGCGGCACAGACGGAGGGGGCTGCTCCTCTCGTCCCCATCCGACTGGGCAGGAAATCCTATCCCGAAGCACAAAAACACAACTCCAGCGCTTTGGCAAATGCTCCTCTCCCACCTCAAGCCAGCTGCTACCTTCTTGCCAAGTCAGAAGGTGCAGCTGAAAGTGGAGACTGTCCAAGCAGCCCGATCGTCTGATGGCCCCCAAAGGCCTCGCCTTTGATTTTACACTCATTTTTAAACACTAGTTTCCTTTTAATACTGCTCAGCTGCTGAGGTCTCAGAAGCAACTGCATGTTCCAAAAAGCAGACACATTCTGCCCCTCCTGCCCCTGTGTCTCTGGGTTATTTGCAAAACTAGGGCATCACTTTGGGACCCCCTCTCACTGCAGCTCCAAAACTGGAGTCTTCCTGACCAGCCCCGTGTCCCAAGCGAAGAGCTGCTCACAAGGCAGACAGCTTTCAGCCCGAGCTCTCTCCCTGCACACGATGCTGCATCTAAATACAGCAGTAACTGAAAATAGCTTCCCCTGAAAGTAGATGTAGCAATTTTAGGCAAAAATAAGTTATACACAAGAGTCGGTTTTCTCAGGACAGCTACACCTTAAATGATTCAGCTACTTCAACAGACGAAGGATGCAAGTGCAGCGAGTTTCTGCATTTTGTGATATGAGCGTTAATTTGTCTCTAATGCTGTAAGATGAAACCAAAGCGTTTGGTCAGAGCTACACAGACAGACAGCACCGTGCTCGCCTTTTCAGAATACGACCAACAAACCTCAGGCCTAACCTGAGGCAGCAGCCTTATCCCCTACCGACATCTTAACGAGAAGGTTGTTTCTATGCTGCAGTTCTGAGGAAATAACGTGTGTTTTGATAAGGCCAGGACCACCAAGCGCCTTGATTGTGGTCAAGAAAGAGGAGATTATAAAAGGCTGGCAGCAGCGCGACGCGTGTCCCCTGGGCCGCAGGACACCGACGTCGCCGCCGCGGTTTGGCCGAGCTCCCGCTCTGCACCGCAGCGGCTGCAGGGCTCCCACAGCGCCAGGGGACCTGCACACGCAGGAGATGCTATTTATTCTTCCCAACACCCATATCTTCATCTACCCAGAAGGTATTTGGTAGATCAGCATTCAGTATTTCAGGAAGAAAGGGTGTTGTGCACGTCAGGCCTTGCATATTTTAATGAAGCAGAAGGGGTGAGAAACTGCCATTGGGTAGAAGTGAAAATAGGGCTGCAAGAACACATCCCTCTAAACAGCACTAAGCGTTTTGAACTGTAGGGAAGAGCCCCAACCAGCCCTAGACAAGTCCTCGGGTCACTCCTGGGGTTGCTGCTTTCAGCTACAGGAAGAATTTCTCCTTACAGAGTCTTGTCCCAAGCCCCAAGGGGCCGGTGCCAGCAGGGAGGTGAGCGCCGCAGCACCCCCGCCTTCCCAAGCGGAGACGAGGGAAGAACCGCCCCGTGCTCTGGGCGTCAAGAGGGACACACGGAACTGCTGCCACACCGGGTGTTCA